CAAAGGAGATTTTTCTTAAAGTTACTTTCTATAGTCTACATGCACATACAAAATAATTAGAGCCAATCTCCACCATCATAGATAAGCTTCAAGTAAATGGAAAACAACTAAAAACCTAGGGGGCTGATCCATTGACATTTTCTCCCAAGAAAACAGGTCTTGCTAAGTTAACAGTCCAGGAATTTCAGAAGCTTAAGATATTAGTCTAAATATTTTAAGTTGGGATGCCTGGGTGGTTCAGCAGTTGAGCGCCTGCCTCCGGCCTAGGCGTAATCCCAGGGTCCAGGATCAAGTCCCACATCAGGCTCCCTGCATGGAGCCTGCTTCCCCCTCTGCCTGTGCCTCTGCCTCTCTCTCTCTCTCTCTCTTCTCTCTCTGTGTCTCTATGAATAAATAAAATCTTTAAAAAATAAAAAAATATTTTAAATTTTCTAAAGTGATAAAGTAGTCTTTAAAATAGTCTAGGTCATATGCAATGGCTTATCTCTTGACCCCCAACAAAATATTTTAGTTTCTCTGTAAAATTAGTAACACATAATGGTAATTCAAAACTATTCAAAATGACACTATGAAATAATTTTAACTGTAAATAATTAGTATTTTTCTAAAGATAACTTATTAATAATAAAATTGTTTAGTGTCTATTATATTTAAATACTATGGATAATGCAAAGCAAAAGATGGATTCCTAAATTAAATTAACTAAATATCCACTCTAACAACTATAAAAATTCTTAAATACTAATAAATGATCAATCCTTAAAGCAATTCTTGAAATAAATATATATTACATATATATTTAAATATAATATCTATACATATATTTAAAAGTAGTCCCTCGTGTATTCAATCAATATCCCAACACTGATGGGAAAAGACTAGAATTCTATAGTGGTCAAGGTAAAAAAAAAAAAAGGCGCATTCTATGAAGAAGGACCAGAACATTCTAAAGCCAAGTAACATGGCATGTCTCAGTAACTTAAGATGCTTTAATAAGGCTATGCCACAGATTACAATTTGGAATTAGTGGGAGATGACATTGAGAAGTTAGTGAGAGCCAGAGTGAAAACAGACTTCAATGAGAAGTTAGGGAATGGAGAAATACAGTAAAGCATCTGCAGCAGGAGAGTCAAATGGGCAAATTAAGAGTTTTAGAAAGATACTTGCTGCAATGAGTAGGACAGATTGATAGGGGGTGAGGAGACCGTGAAAATTACTTAGAAGTTGTTTATAATGACAAAGGCCTGAACCAAGGCAATGGCTCTGACCACAGAGAAAAGGAACTTAAGAAATGCACAGAAGTGAAATCATTAGATATTAGTTACTGTGAGAACATAAGGGTAGAGGTGGGAGGTTCTCAAGCTTACACTGGAGATTTGGTGACTGGATGGATGTACCATTCCCAGAGATATGTAATAGTATTTTTGGACATGCTGTAGTTGGGGTGCCACTTGGAAAACAGCAAGTAGGTCAACGGTGTTGAGGATATGGAGTTCAGGACAGAGAGGACTCTAAATTACCAGTGGCGAGGCTGTACAAGGTCTCTGGATGACAGATCAGGGAGTGTAAAGAGTGAGAAGAGATGAAAGTTGAGGATGAGACTGGAAACACTTAAGTATACAGTCCCATCTTCTTGTTAAGAGAAGTCCTTTAGTCCTATAACCATCACCTTATTTCATGTTGGGAGAAACAGGAGGATCAATTAATCTGTCTTTATTTTACAGATCAGAAAACAGAGGGTCAAAAGTTAAGTGACTTTACCTAAAGCTATTTATCTGTAGAAGTGAATGAAAACTCAGGTTTCCATATTGAGCTCAAGTTGTTTCATCTTACTATTCAAATATTCTCTATTACAAAATGAGGGATAAAAACCATATAGGATCATCTCATTAGATGCAGGAAAAGCATCTAACAAAATTCAACATCTGTTCATGATAAAAACTCTCAACAAAGTAGGTTTATAGGGAACATACCTCAACATAATAAAGGCTACATATGACAAACCCACAGCTAATATCATATTCAATGATGAAAAGCTGACAGCTTTTTCCCTAAGATCAAGAACAAGGCAAGAATGTCCACCCTGGTCACTTTGATTCAACACAGTACATAGTCCTCATCACAGCAATTAGACAAGAAAAAAGAGATAAAAGGTATCCAAATAGGTAAGGAAGAAGTAAAACTCACTATTTGTAGATGACATGATAGTATATGTAAAAAACCCTAACGACTCCACCAAAAAGCTCTCATAACTAATAAATTTAGTTAAGTTGCAGTATACAAAATCAATGCACAAAAATCTGTTGCATTTTTATACACTAACAAACTACCAGAAAGAGAAATAAAGAAAATAATCCCATTTACAATTGCACCAAAAATAATAAAATACCTAGGAAAAAACAAAGGAGGTGAAAGACCCATACTCTGAAAAATTATAAAACATTGATGAAAGAAATTGAAGATGGCACAAATAAGTGGAAAGGTATTCCATGCTCATGGATTGGAAGAATATTGTTAAAATATCCCTACTACCCAAAGCAATCACCAGATTCAATGCAATCACTATTAAAATGCCAATAGGGGTCCCTGGGTGGCACAGCGGTTTGGCGCCTGCCTTTGGCCCAGGGTGCGATCCTGGAGACCCGGGATCGAGTCCCACGTCGGGCTCCCGGTGCATGGAGCCTGCTTCTCCCTCCGCCTGTGTCTCTGCCTCTCTCTCTCTGTGACTATCATGAGTAAATAAAAAATTAAAAAAAAAATGCCAATAGCATTTTTCACAAAACTAGAACAAACAATCCTAAAATTTTATGGAACCATAAAAGACCCTGAATAGACAGAGCAATCTTGAGAAAAAAGAACAAAGCTGGAGGTATCACAGTCCCAGATTTCAAACTATACAACAAAGCTACAGTACTTAAAACAGTATGCTACTGGCACAAACACAGAAACATAGATCAATAGAACAGGATACAGAACCCAGAAATAAATCCATGCTTACATGGTCAATTAATCTATGACAAAGAAGGCAAGAACATTCCAATAGGGAAAAAAGATAGTCTCTTCAATAAATGTTCCTGGAAAAACTCGACAATTAAATGCAAAATAATGAAATGGGACCCCTTTCTTACATCACACACAAAAATAAGCTAAAAATGAATTTAAGGCCAGCTTTGAGATCTGAAACCATAATAAAACTCCTTAAAAAACATATGCAGTAATCTATTTGACATTGGCCTTAGTAACTTATTCCTAAATATGTTTTCTCAGGCAAGGAAAACAAAAGCAAAAATAAACTATTGGGACTACTGCAAAATCAAAGAAAGAATTCATTAACAAAATGAAAAGGTAACCTACTGAATGGGAGAAGATACTTGCAAATGATATATCTGGTAAGAGGTTAATATCCAAAATATAAAGAACTTATATTGGTGGTTGCCAGACTAGGAGGTGGCAGGATGGGTGAAATAGGTGAATAGGATTAAGGCAACATCCAAAACCCCCAAATCATCTGATTAAAAAATGGGCAGAGGATCTGAATAAATATTTTTCCAAGGAAGACATATCGATGGCCAACAGAAACATGAAAAGAAGCTCAACATCACTAATTATCAGGCAAATCCAAATCAAAACCACAATGAGATATCACCTTCTACCTGTCAGAATGGCTAAAATTAAAAGACGAAATAATAAGTGTTGGCAAGGATGTGGAGAAAAGGGAACTCTTGTGCACTATTAGTGGGAATTGTAGTGGGAATATAATTTGGTGTAACTGCTGTGGAAAAGAGTATAGAAATTCCTCAAAAACTTAAAATTGGAAATGTAATGGATCTAGTAATTCCACTACTGGGCATTTACCCAAATAAAAAACCCAGAAATACTAATTCAACAAAATATATGCAATCCCTATATTTATTGTAGCATTATTTACAAATAGCTAAGATAGTGAAGCAACCCAATTGTCCACTGACAGATGAATGGATAAAGAAGTTGTGGTATAAATATACAATGGAATATTACCCAGCCATAACAAAGAATGAGATCATTCCTTTGGTGGACAACATGGATGGACCTAGAGGGTATTAGGCTAAGTAAAATAAGTCAGAGAAAGACAAATACCAGATGATTTAATTTATATGTGGAATCTAAAAAACAACAGAGATGAATAAACAAATAAGTAAAACAAACGGAATCGTTAAGTACAGAGAACTAAGTGGTGGTTGCCAGAGGGTAAAGGGCCAGTGGGATGGGTAAAATAGATAAAAGGGATTAAGAGGTATAAACTTCCAGTTATAAAATAAGTAAGTCACAAGGATGAAAAGTACAGCATAGGGAATATATAGTCAATAATATAATAATGTTGTATGGTGACAGATGGCAACTACATTTGATGTGGTGAGCATAGTATAACGTACAGAATTGTTAAAATACTATGTTATAGAGCTGAAACTAATATTTTACGTCAATTATACTTAAATAAAACAAAACAGAATAAATATGTTCTTTCTGGTACTGTAACCTTCTTCCACTTCTGCCTCATAAATTTTCAGAGGATAAGAAGTCAAAGATTCTTTCTTCAGTAATTGATGACAATAAATGCTTCTGTTGTTATTTTGTATATATTACCAAAACTAAAATGTATTTCCAAGGCTAATCTTCCAACAATATAGTTCATTAATAGGACCCCAAGTTTACAATTCACACATGCTTCTTGAATGATCTGGGAAACAAAGAAATTCCCAATTCTTTAATTATGAATAGCAAATGGCAATTGTATCAAACATACACACAGAATGCTTATGAGATACTTCAGAGAAAAATAGCTATAGCTGTTCCTTGCAGATGTTTTTATTTTTTATTTTATTTTTTTCTTGCAGACCTTTTTAAAGCTTACTTAGATGGTTAAGAATGGGTTTCACCAGTGAATTCTATCAAACATCCTTGAAGACATTTTCATAAGTACACTTAAGAAAAACAAAAAGCAAGAGATTGCCTTGGCATACCTGCTTGATTTGGCTGTTGCCAGCTTGGTGACTTGATAACGTTGGGAGATCCTGGGGACTTGAAGGCGGCAGCAGTTGTGAGACCAGCCACCCCTGGTCTGGTGGTGGCTGGGTTCTCCCGCCTCTCAGGCATGCTCCGTGCTGAAGCTACTGATGGCGCCAACTGCTGAGAAGTCTCCTGGGTGTGGCTAGAAAGAAAAAAAGGAAACATTTTTGGTGAAGTGGTAGTAACCTAACTTAGCAATGATCCTCTCTTTCCTCAATCTATTAAATCTCTAAAGGAAAACAAAGATATTAATTAAACAATATTTTTAAAAAAGTAAAACTTGAAAACCACAACTGAGGGACTGTCTTTTTGAAATGAACAAACAAAAACAAAAACAGAAAGGAAAGGAGATTATATTTGTCTAGTACTCTGAAAATTGTCTTTAAAAGGTCTATCATGAGAAATTAGGCTATTGGAACAATGCAGCCAACCCTTTCAAATCATAAGCTAATTTCTTCTTCCTATTCTTGTCTATTTCAATGTTTCAGAAAAATCATTTAAACAACTAATTATTAGAGAATCCCTGATAATCTCTATGAAATGATAGAGATATTTTTTCCCTTACTTTTTCACTTTCTGGTATTTTGTGAACTAAGTTTTCCTGACATCTTACCACTCTTTTCACTCACATACTCTCAGTCACTCATTCATTGAACGAATATTTGAGCAACTACTACATGGTAGACATTGTGCTATGCATTGGCCACATAATGGTTAAGTAAGAGACAACATCCCCAGCTTAATAGAACATCTAGTGTTCTGTGTTCACAGTACAGGAAAACAAGAGACAAGACTGCCATTGTCCTTACTCACTCAGAGTTACTCTACTTGCTTAACAGGAGGCCTTATCTGTGCTGATTCCAGTTTGATTTAGAAGATCACAAAGCTTTTTATTATTACATCCTGTCATTTGTCACATGTTGTCATTTCAAAAAAAATGATTTTAGTTGGCTCAAATAATAAATTCTGCACTTTGAAATGATATAATTACTATAGCAATTTCTCTCAGGTAAAGCATAATAATAATAATTGTTATAACAACAATAAGAATAATACATCCTGCTAACTTTTGAACAGAAATCAAAGTACTGCTTGCTTAAATAATTCCAGGCACAGAAACGCAAGTCCTTCAATAACTGAGACCAACAGCTGGAGGAGTAGATCAGAAAAGACAGGTTACTAATTAATGACCAGTAAAAATAAATGGCCCTTAATAATATACTGGTTAGGCTGAGATTATTTCAATGAAAAGAAATTTCAATTTTTTTCTTAAGATTTTATTTATTTATTCATGGGAGATACACAGAGAGAGGCAGAGACATAGGCAGAGGGAGAAGCAGACTCCCTGTGGGGAGCCCGATGAGGAACTCAATCCCAGGACCCCAGGATCACGACCTGAGCCAAATGCAGATGCTCAATCACTGAGCCACCCAAGTGTCCCCCTAAGCAAAATTCTTTAACTTAGACATTCTGTACCAAAATTCAAAATGCTAAATATAATAAATGGAAAGAAACAAGTTTGGTATTACACTATAATATAATTTTAAAGCTTACTGCAAAACAAAGATCAGAGATAAAATATTTGACATTGTCCCAACTACTCTTTTCGGTACCCTTATCACTTGTGTTTAGCAAGGTCTCCTCAGAAAATAAAGCATCCCTGCTTTCCAGAATGCCAATTCACTTACCCTGTTGAAAATCATTTCCCTTTCCCAAATACCAAAATATATTTAGTTTGGGCCTACTGCTATTAATAAAAATAACAATAATGGCTACTAATATCTATTCTATAAGCAGGTCCATGCATAAGGTCAATCAGTCCACAACAGCATGCATGCTTTTTTTTAAACAAGAAGTTTATTTAAACAACAAAACATTTGATTTGAAGGAAACACTCTCTAGGATTCATTTTTTTTTTCAGAGTAATTTATCTCTACTTAAGACAGACTGCTCTGCATGTAAGGGTTACGTACAAAAATGTAAAATTGTCCCTGGTTTTACAATGATAGATGACAAACATTAAAATTCTCCAATCAAGCAAGGTTTGTGAGAATTTTAATGTTGCTCTTTTTTTATTAAATACTGAGTACAAAATAGCTTACTGGAATATAATAAGAGCGTGCCACTAACAGAGATGGGGTAGTCTCACACAACTAGTATTTTTCTCCATCCTATTTACATTTGTTCCTATCCTATCGCCACTTGATATCCATCAAAACACACCACTGGCCATTTAAAGTTTTTTAAAAAATGAAATAGATACTGGAGAGAAGATGTAAGTATTGCATTAGGTCCTCAAAGAGATTTTTTTCCCAAATGTGGTCAGTAACCTGTCTCTGTATAGACTTTGCTCTGATGATGAAAGATTTCTGCTCAATTAACACTCACAAGTCCACAAATATAAAATGACTTTTTTATAAAATGATTTTGAGTGATTTTTCCTTAGAGAAAAATGTACACTGATCTCTTTTTCTGTTTAAACATTTCCTTTAAAAATTACTCAGAATTATAACTTAAGTATATTGAAAAGTTCCATAACAGTGGATAGAAGATAAACACGTGATCAAGAGATAGTCTATGTCATATCAGGCTTTCACTAATTATAGTCATAGTTATACACTCTGCCATTAATTTTATGTTCCATCAGAAATGATTTTTTTTATCTTTTTTTTAAGATTTCATTTATTTATTCATGAGAGACACAGGGAAAGAGAGACAGAGGTAGAAGGAGAAGCAGGTTCCATGCAGGGAGCCCGATGTGGGACTCAATCCAAGGATCCCAGGATCACGTCGTGAGCTGAAGGCAGACGTTCAACCACTGAGTCACCCAGGCGCCACCAGAAATGACTTTAAACAGTTATTTCATTAAGATTATACCTTTCATGAACAGTTGGGATATTTTTATTTTTATATTATGCCTAATAATTTTTGGCATATTTGTTAACTTTAGGAGAAAAATTAATATTGTTTCAAAATTTCCCACATATGGTGAAAATTAAGTTGTTTGCCCAGGTAAAACCCTCATATTTGAGAACTCTAAGATAGTAGTAGCCAGTCAAAACAAATTATTTTATTATTCGTTTTCGTTTTTCAGAAGGTATAATGGTATGTCTTACTAAATATTTGATTCTTCTAGTATAGCTACCATCCATGCAATGAAACAGTTATACTATAATTTAAGCACTTGCACAATTACTCATAATTTCATATTAAACATCAAGTGTGCTAATAAAAGATATCACAAAGGGTTAAAAGGGGGAGTTAATGATCATATAAAATAACATGCTTGAGTATTAGCATTGCATGGAATTTACAGTTAATTTAAAACTGAACACAAATCCACTCTAGGACTTTCTCATCTGGGTTAATATGGTGGTGAGGTGTCACAGAAAGCAGTATCATTTACAGCAAAACACCACTATGGTATCTGCTCCCACAGTACCTTATTTTTTTAACATGGATAGAGCCAGTTGACTTCCTCGAGGACTGGAGGTACGAAAGAGCTAAAGGCTTGGAAACAGGACTGATGCAAAGTGCATCCAGGAGTAAGTGATATTTATCAGGACTGGAGAGCCTGGTGAGCATTTAGAAAGAGTTTTAAATCGAAAAATCGCATGACCAATAGCAGAAAGTTGTTTTTACAGTCTATGATTTGAAACATTTCCAGAAAGAGACAGAGATAGATGAGACACAGACTTTATAGACAGGCAGGAAGAACAAAGCAGTAGAAAGAGAATAAAAGAAGGTCTGAGTATTCTACTATTTTACTCATTAATGTATAATGACTCATTATTTTACTCATTTAGAATGACTAAATTTTCACCAAAATTGGTCAAGACAATATTTTAGAAAGTATATAAAGCTTTATAAAGACTACCAAAAATTATGTAAAAACAAAATCTCACAAAAATAAAAAGTTATTATTCTTTTTTGGGTAGGGATATAGTTAGACTTTAGATTACCCTCAAATACAATCAGCTTGTGAGAGAAGAAAATACCAATAGGAACTTAAAATATCTACTGATAGTTGATTCTGTTTCAGATATAAAAACTAAAAATGATAAAACCCCAAAACTCAATAAGTACACAACATGCAATAATCCATGTAACCGAGAAGTATCATGGATAAATGGTAGTAATGCAAACAGATGAAAGGATGATTTAAAGGAAAACCAGTAATAAATATTGTGGGATATGTCAACAACTTAGGTAAAATGTCCACAGCACAATCAGGATCTCATATAGATCTGTGACTCTTTCACATGGTTATCCTTGCCTTGAGGGGACTTGTAAGACAGTGAAAAGTGTTGGAATCACACAAGACACACATTGTACGTAAAGTTCTACCTGGTTTTTGCAGCAAGAACAGCAGACACAGTAGCAGCTGCACTGCTAAGAACTGCAGCACTATATCTAGCAGAAGAGAAGGTAGAAAAGTTTCGAAAACCTTCCAAAGAACTTGTCACCACATTTCTTGTGGAGCTGCTTAAATTGATACAAAGGGAAAGAAAAAAAGAGGAAAGGAACAAAAAGCAAAGTGAGAAGAGGTGGCGTAATACAGATAAGATAGTAACCATCTTATATTAATATTTAGACATTATAAAGGTATGATACAGAAGTATAATAAGAGTTCAGGTCGTTTATTTACTGTTGCTAAGATTTCTCTCAGAGATTGAAATTTGATATATAATCCTCCATAAAACTGATTTTTGAGACATAAAGGCTTTTGAATGTATTTAACTTCAGTCTCTAATCCTATTTAAAGTTAAATCAATAACATGCAACACACACATGTGAAGATTGATTTGTCTGCATCTAAGTAGAAAATAAATCTAAACATGAAGTTTGAATTTCTGTAATCAGAGAAAGGAAGGTTATGTCGATTTTTCTAAAAAGACTCCATCTACATAAAGAGCTTTACCTTAGAGATGATATACATCCAGAGCCTGACATTTTAATGAAACTTGTGCTTTCAGGAGAAGCAGGTACAACCAACTGCCTATGCAGAAGCAGCAATACATATTAAAAAGAACAAGAAATAACTTTAAAATATTGAGACTAAATCTATGTGGGGAAGGAAAGCACCTTTAAAATAAACAGCAATTAAACTGACTGTAACTAAAACACCCTCTCTGCTGATAT